GGTCTCTCTCTGGTCTCTCTCTGGTCTCTCTCTGGTCTCTCTCTGGTCTCTCTCTGGTCTCTCTCTGGTCTCTCTCTGGTCTCTCTCTGGTCTCTCTCTGGTCTCTCTCTGGTCTCTCTCTGGTCTCTCTCTGGTCTCTCTCTCTGGTCTCTCTCTGGTCTCTCTCTGGTCTCTCTCTGGTCTCTCTCTGGTGTCTGCAGCCGAAGTGAAAACAAGTGTATTTGTGTAATAATTGTGCGTCTGTTCTGGAGTGTGAAGCCGTCATCCTGTGTGTGTTTCTCCTCCCTCACACCTTGCTTAGCTCTGGGTCCAGGAGAGGGTCCAGGGGAGGGTCCGGGGGAGGGTCTGTGGGGGTCTGTGGGGGTCCGAGGGGGTCTGGAGGTCAGCACAGAGACCACAGACCTGGGACTGGGGGCAGTAATTAGAGGACTTTCCCCGTCTCAGAGGCTGTTTGTGTGAAACTGAAATACATGTGTTTTTCGTGTTGATTTTGCCCCAAAAAAACCAGATTTCAGAAAATATTTATCACATTTCACCGTTCCCAAAGTGCTGCACGAAAAAATGTGTGAAAATCTGAAAATAACCATAAAACCAAGGAGCATAAAGCTGAGGTTTTGTCGATTCAGTTTGTTTTTATCTCCGAGGACTTTAACAAACTGTGTATTCTCCGACACAGATCAGAACATCAGTGTCCGTATAGATTAGGGCGCCACCTGCTGAGCAAATGTGAACATGACACTTACTGTGAACGTACTTCTGAAACACATTGTGATGGTTTGGTTTTGCCGGTGGTTGAAAAGAACTAAAGTCTGAGGAAAGAGAGTGAAATGAAGAAAAAGCAGGTCTCTCTCGTCCTTAAACTGTGGGTGTCTCTCTCGTCCTGCTCGCGGCGGTTTGTGGGAACTTTAAACTGTGGGTGTCACTCTCGAGGGGTCAGAGGTCAGAGAGGGTCCTCCAAAGGCCGCTCGTCTCCGCTCGCGGCTTTTGTTGGTCTTTTGTGAAAGAAATGAGACACTTCAGAAACAGAGGATATAGACTCTACTCTACTCTACTCTACTCTACTCTACTCTACTCTACTCTGCTCTACTCTACTCTACTCTGCTCTACTCTACTCTACTCTGCTCTACTCTACTGTGCTCTACTCTACTCTACTCTGCTCTGCTCTGCTCTGCTCTGCTCTACTCCACTCCACTCCACTCTACTCTACTCTACTCTACTCTACTCTGCTCTACTCTGCTCTACTCTACTCTACTCTACTCTACTCTACTCTACTCTGCTCTACTCTACTCTACTCTACTCTACTCTACTCTGCTCTGCTCTGCTCTGCTCTACTCCACTCTACTCTACTCTACTCTACTCTACTCTGCTCTGCTCTACTCTACTCTACTCTACTCTACTCTACTCTACTACTCTACTCTACTCTGCTCTGCTCTGCTCTGCTCTGCTCTGCTCTACTCCACTCTACTCTACTCTACTCTACTCTACTCTACTCTACTCTACTCTGCTCTACTCTGCTCTACTCTACTTTACTCTGCTCTACTCTACTCTGCTCTACTCTACCCTACTCTACTCTACTCTGCTCTACTCTACTCTACTCTGCTCTACTCTGCTCTACTCTACTCTGCTCTACTCTACTCTACTCTGCTCTACTCTACCCTACTCTACTCTACTCTGCTCTACTCTACTCTACTCTGCTCTACTCTACCCTACTCTACTCTACTCTACTCTGCTCTACTCTACTCTACTCTGCTCTACTCTACCCTACTCTACTCTACTCTGCTCTACTCTACTCTGCTCTACTCTGCTCTACTCTACTTTACTCTACTCTGCTTTACTCTACTCTACTCTACTCTACTCTACTCTGCTCTACTCTACTCTACTCTGCTCTACTCCACTCTACTCTACTCTACTCTTCTCTGCTTTACTCTACTCTACTCTACTCTACTCTACTCTACTCTGCTCTGCTCTGCTCTGCTCTGCTCTACTCCACTCTACTCTACTCTACTCTACTCTACTCTACTCTACTCCACTCTACTCTACTCTACTCTACTCTACTCTGCTCTACTCTACTCTACTCTACTCTGCTCTGCTCTGCTCTGCTCTGCTCTGCTCTACTCCACTCTACTCTACTCTACTCTACTCTACTCTACTCTGCTCTACTCTGCTCTACTCTACTTTACTCTGCTCTACTCTACTCTACTCTGCTCTACTCTACCCTACTCTACTCTACTCTGCTCTACTCTACTCTACTCTACTCTGCTCTACTCTACTCTACTCTACTCTGCTCTACTCTACTCTACTCTGCTCTACTCTACCCTACTCTACTCTACTCTGCTCTACTCTACTCTACTCTGCTCTACTCTACTCTACTCTACTCTGCTCTACTCTACTCTACTCTACTCTACTCTACTCTGCTTTACTCTACTCTGCTTTACTCTACTCTGCTCTACTCCACTCTACTCTACTCTACTCTACTCTTCTCTGCTTTACTCTACTCTGCTCTACTCCACTCTACTCTACTCTACTCTACTCTACTCTGCTTTACTCTACTCTGCTCTACCCTACTCTACTCTACTCTACCCTACTCTACTCTACCCTACTCTACTCTACTCTACTCTACTCTACTCTACTCTACTCTACTCTACTCTACTCTACTCTGCTCTACTCTACTCTACTCTACTCTACTCTGCTCTACTCTACTCTACCCTACTCTACTCTACCCTACTCTACTCTACTCTACTCTACTCTACTCTACTCTACTCTGCTCTACTCTACTCTACTCTACTCTACTCTGCTCTACTCTACTCTACTCTACTCTACTCTACTCTACTCTACTCTACTCTACTCTACTCTACTCTACTCTGCTCTGCTCTACTCTACTCTACTCTACTCTACTCTACCCTACTCTACTCTACTCTACTCTACTCTACTCTGCTCTACTCTACTCTACTCTACTCTACTCTACTCTACTCTACTCTACTCTACTCTACTCTACCCTACCCTACCCTACTCTACTCTACTCTACCCTACTCTACTCTACTCTACTCTACCCTACTCTACTCTACCCTACTCTACTCTACTCTACTCTACTCTACCCTACTCTACTCTCTACTCTACTCTACTCTACTCTACTCTACCCTACTCTACTCTACCCTACTCTACCCTACCCTACTCTACTCTACTCTACTCTACTCTACTCTACTCTACTCTACTCTACCCTACTCTACTCTACTCTACTCTACTCTACCCTACTCTACTCTACCCTACTCTACTCTACTCTACTCTACTCTACCCTACTCTACTCTACTCTACTCTACTCTACCCTACTCTACTCTACTCTACTCTACTCTACCCTACTCTACTCTACCCTACTCTACCCTACCCTACTCTACTCTACTCTACTCTACTCTACTCTCCCCTGAGTGTTTCCTCAGGTCCTGTGTAACCAGTTCCAGGTCCCTCTTGGTCCTGGTTCTGTCCAGGCCGAGCTGGTACTATGTTGTGTGTTTGCTGTTGTGTGTTTTCTGTTGTGTGTTTTCTGTTGTGTGTAACCTGTCTCTTTGCCGCAGGTGGTGGACGACCTCGGGCCCCTGCACTTCTCCCTGGGCGGCCCCGACCCCTCCTGCTCCTCCCCCAATGCGAGCTGGCTTCGCTACATCCGCTGTGCGCCGAGCTTCCAGCAGCAGAACATGGTGGCCTGTCACCTGACGGGGGACCAGGTGAGTGTGTACCATCACAGCAGCAGAACATGGTGGCCTGTCACCTGACGGGGGACCAGGTGAGTGTGTACCATCACAGCAGCAGAACATGGTGGCCTGTCACCTGACGGGGGACCAGGTGAGTGTGTACCATCACAGCAGCAGAACATGGTGGCCTGTCACCTGACGGGGGACCAGGTGAGTGTGTACCATCACAGCAGGGCCTGTGGGGGTGGACCCTGACATGCTGCAGTACCACCCCGGGCCTGTGGGGGTGGACCCAGAAGGAGAATTAGCCAATGCTAACAGATAGCATCTTCTTACCTCTGGAAAACGTCTTTACAGGATGGTCCAAAAGTGTCTCTTGGCCCAAAGCTCCGGTCCACATGTGTGTCAATGCTGAGTGTTCTGGACCAGTCTAGTTTAGTCGCTGTGGACTTTAGAAGTCTCTCGTTTAAATGAATGGAGCTCTCTCCGGCTGACGCATGCACAGATGTGTTTTTTCACAATTTTCTTGTGGGCGGGACCAGTCGCGGCCATTTTGGATAGCTCCAGCAGAGCACAGTTTTTGGCCCATTAATTAGAAAGACGCAGATACTGACTCTGTCCGTTAATATTTACAGTCTATGAACCTCAGTGAGCAAAACAGGTTAGCATTATTAGCATTGTTAGCATTGTTAGCATAGTCCATCTGTATTCAGTGTTTACCCGGCGATGGAATAATTTATTTAGAGACACAAACAGCGGCCCCACTCAGAGGCGTTAAAAATGTATTATTCAAGATGGCGTCCGCGGTGTTGGGAGGATGAAGTATGCACGGCTTTACGGAGGCGCCAGGTTCTGCGTGACCTTTCAGCCAAACAAGAGGCACTTTATTGTTTATTTGTCAAACATTAATGTTGTAGGAAGGACAAAAGCATCATGTTTAATTCACCGCACGACAGAAAAACACCGGGTTTTCACAGACGCCGTGGATTCAACTTGAGATTCTGCTTTGGCTCAAAGTGCAAATAAGAAGTTTAAAGAGGTTCTTTTTTATCTTTAAGTTAGAGATTTTATAGGATTTTAGTAAAGAGTTAGACCAGAAGGAGACTAGAGAGAGGCCTGAGAGAGACCAGAGAGAGGCCTGAGAGAGACCAGAGAGAGGCCTGAGAGAGACCAGAGAGAGAGACCAGAGAGAGACCAGAGAGAGACCAGAGAGAGACCAGAGAGAGGCCTGAGAGAGACCAGAGAGAGAGACCTGAGAGAGACCAGAGAGAGAGACCAGAGAGAGACCAGAGAGAGACCAGAGAGAGACCAGAGAGAGACCAGAGAGAGACCAGAGAGAGACCAGAGAGAGGCCTGAGAGAGACCAGAGAGAGAGACCAGAGAGAGACCAGAGAGAGAGACCAGAGAGAGACCAGAGAGAGAGACCAGAGAGAGACCAGAGAGAGAGACCAGAGAGAGACCAGAGAGAGACCAGAGAGAGACCAGAGAGAGACCAGAGAGAGGCCTGAGAGAGACCAGAGAGAGAGACCAGAGAGAGACCAGAGAGAGAGACCAGAGAGAGACCAGAGAGAGACCAGAGAGAGACCAGAGAGAGACCAGAGAGAGGCCTGAGAGAGACCAGAGAGAGAGACCAGAGAGAGACCAGAGAGAGAGACCAGAGAGAGACCAGAGAGAGACCAGAGAGAGACCAGAGAGAGACCAGAGAGAGACCAGAGAGAGACCAGAGAGAGGCCTGAGAGAGACCAGAGAGAGAGACCAGAGAGAGACCAGAGAGAGAGACCAGAGAGAGACCAGAGAGAGACCAGAGAGAGACCAGAGAGAGACCAGAGAGAGACCAGAGAGAGGCCAGAGAGAGACCAGAGAGAGACCAGAGAGAGAGACCAGAGAGAGACCAGAGAGAGACCAGAGAGAGAGACCAGAGAGAGACCAGAGAGAGACCAGAGAGAGACCAGACAGAGACCAGAGAGAGACCAGAGAGAGACCAGAGAGAGAGACCAGAGAGAGACCAGAGAGAGACCAGAGAGAGAGACCAGAGAGAGAGCAGAGAGAGACCAGAAAGAGGCCTGAGAGAGACCAGAGAGAGACCAGAGTAGAGACCAGAGAGACCACGAGAGAGACCAGAGAGAGACCAGAGAGAGAGACCAGAGAGAGACCAGAGAGAGACCAGAGAGAGACCAGAGAGAGACCAGAGAGAGAGACCAGAGAGAGACCAGACAGAGACCAGAGAGAGACCAGAGAGAGACCAGAGAGAGAGACCAGAGAGAGACCAGAGAGAGACACCAGAGAGAGAGACCAGAGAGAGACCAGAGAGAGACCAGAGAGAGACCAGAAAGAGGCCTGAGAGAGACCAGAGAGAGACCAGAGAGAGACCAGAGAGAGACCAGAGAGAGACCAGAGAGAGACCAGAGAGAGAGACCAGAGAGAGACCAGAGAGAGACCAGAGAGAGACCAGAGAGAGACCAGAGAGAGACCAGAAAGAGGCCTGAGAGAGACCAGAGAGAGACCAGAGAGAGACCAGAGAGAGACCAGAGAGAGACTAGAGAGAGACCAGAGAGAGACCAGAGAGAGACCAGAGAGAGACCAGAGAGAGACACATTTTCACCAATTTTGAGTATTTTTTAATATTTTTTGCAGTGTGTTTACAAGAGTTTCTTAGCTTTACATCGACGGAGCTGAGGTCTGTGTATGTGTGAAGGCTCGGCGGGGGGGGGGGGGGGGGGCCTCCCGGGACAAAGGCAACAAAGAGACCGATCCAGGCTGAACCGTGTCCACCTCCGCGCCGCGCTTTCATCCTTTGTGCCACGTCCAAATAGAGACGTCCAAGTGACAGGCTGGGTCCAGGCCAACTGTGGGTCTGCAGGATTTCAGAGGGCGCTGCGGTGCGCGGGGACCAGGGGCAAATATTTAGTATGTTTCAAATCTAAAACTGAACTGAAACCTCGCGGCAAAA